TTTTTAATGTTAGGGGCTAACTTCACGACGGCGATGTGCGCGGCGCGGGGCTTTTGGCAGGCAATCCCCGCTCCCCACAGAGAGCCAAGTGATTGCTAGGCGTATACATTTCACAGTAATAGATTGGGCGGGCGCGCATATTCGGCTCTCTTTAAGGATTAATATCTCATTAACTATTGAGAAAACTTGTAAAATGATACAGAACTTTTCAATTCAGTTTAATTTGCTCTACCTGCTCATGAAATATTTGGCGATTATATTGAGACACCTTGTATATATGTATATATGTATATATGTATACATACATGAGGATGTAGAACTACACTATACTGACAATAATAATACTGTTGCGCGGCAACGAACGCGTTGTGAACGCGGGTCATACTTGTTGCAGCTGATTGACTCGTGTAACGCCTTGTTTCCTACAGTATACAGTATACGCAAAATACGGTTTGTAGTTCGTGCAGTAGATAATATTGGCGCACAGGAGAATCCATTTATTTTACAATAAACCAATATTACTGCGATTACGACATTAAATAATGATCCATCATGTCTGTTTCTTATTTTGTAATTTGGAGACACGTGTCTCGGCGCTAAGCATAGCGTGAGATATTGCCGTGCCTTCTTTACGAGCTAGTGAGTTGCGCCGGATCAAGATTATCGGATCTCAATAACGGCTGTTCCGAATTTTAAATTCACTTAATCGATAGCTTACACTTCGATTGTATTGTACGTGCTTTTATTTGTTTTCTATGCACCCTATAAGCAGAAATATTACGACGCAAAGTCCAGATCTGTATCTTTTCAGACTCAGTCGTCATTGTCGATCCACATTCCATGCATTCCTTTAGTGTCCTGACATTCTTTACGCAAAGACTCAGATATCAAACACATATTATTTTGACGTCAAATTTTGGTCATTTACTGACCATAGATAACGGTAACTGAATCATAAAATGCCAATTATAAGAGTTCTTTACATAGAAGTCGTAGATAGATGTAAAGTCTAAATCATAGGAAATTTTCATTTTTAATCGAGTATTCTTCCTATATTTGATTGTGATTGGTTGGTTTTCTACTTAAGACTTTACGACTATCTACGACTTCTATGTAAAAGATCCTTATAACTGGCGTTTTACGATTCAGTTATGACCTATCATTGTATTGAAGCTTAGCCTCAAATATCAATATAGCTATGCTGATGTTATTAATTATCATTTTAACGTAAAAATAATAAATGCTATCACTACCTGTGATTATATAACGTATTAATTAAGACAAATATATAAAAATAATAATTTACAGCCGAAATTTATTGAAGAACTTTATAACAGTCAGAAGGATTTTATAACAGTTACATGCATAAATTGCATGTGTGTGCCCTGGTAGAAACTTCCTCGTCAGTACCACAAATGCCATGATACTGACCAACGATACTTTGCCACTGCTTTGCCACGCCATAATCTCATAAAAAAATCTGACATAGGTGTACAACTTTGCTTCCGCCGTTTTTTTTCCGAAATTCAAGGCTTTATTGTAAAAAACTGGTTATACATTTATGATTCAAAGTATTGTCCATCGCTGGCCACTACTTTCTCCCATCTTTCGGGTAGCGTACGAATCCCGCGTCGAAAAAACTGGTCATCTTTTGAGACTATCCACGAATCGATCCAATTTTTTACTTCTTCATAAGACCGGAAGTGCTGGTCAGCCAGGCCGTGTGCCATTGATCGAAACAAGTGATAGTCAGAGGGAGCAACGTCTGGAGAATACGGCGGGTGGGGTAGGACTTCCCATTTCAACGTTTCCAAGTATGTCTTGACCACTTTCGCAACATGGGGTCGAGCATTGTCATGCTGCAAAATCACTTTATCGTGTCTCTCGTTGTATTGCGGCCGTTTGTCTTTCAATGCTCGGCTCAAACGCATCAATTGCGTTCGATACCGATCGCCTGTGATTGTTTCAGTCGGTTTTAACAGTTCATAATACATTACGCCGAGCTGGTCCCACCAAATACAGAGCATGACCTTGGCTGTCAAAATCACCGTTCTTGAAGCGTTGAAACCACTCACGACACGTTCTTTCACTAATAGCGGCCTCACCATAAGTATTTGAGAGCAATCGATGAGCCTCAGCCGCAGATTTTTTTCATATTGAAGCAAAAAATTAAAACCTCCCGCAAATGACGAGAATTTGGCTCGTAAACTGATATTTTCAATCGAAACTTTATGATGCAGACACAAATCGACTAATGTTTCTATGGGGTTATGTTGACAGATGCCCAAGTTTATTGTATGACGTCTATGATCTATTTATTTCGACCACCGCTAAAGCCATCTATAGGAAAACGGCAGAGGCAAAGTTGTATACCTAATAGTTCAAAGCCTAGTCTTGTGATTGATACAGATCTGGTATGGAAATAGCTTAGCACTCGCATTTTAATAAAATTTATTAAATAATCTAACGTAGCCCATGTCCGGACCTTGGCTCGCGCCTCATATGAAAATATTACCGCAGCGTTTATTCGCATCACAGTATTTCGTGGCTGTGACGGTGATTTTCTATTCTGAATAGTCGTAAATTTTAAAGATTAATATCTCATGTTCGCAGGGCAGAGTAACGCTTTTTTCTGCCAAATTCCTTCGTTTTATACAAAATCAGATCAAGTAAGCCTAATTTTATTGATTTGTGAGCAGTGGCAAATTAAATTATTATCTTTTTTTCTTATGAAATCTTCATTTTTACACGAAAAATCAATAAAATTAGAATCTGGCAGGAAAAAGCATCATTCTGCTTCGCAAACCTGAGATATTAAACTTACGACTATTCAGGTTAAAAAATCTGTCACTGTCTGGGTGCTGGTAAGTATTGTGCCGCAGTCGAGCACAATTGCTTCTCAAAGAAGAATGGCAACAAGAATGCGTTAGACTGGGAAAGGAAAACACTAGAACACAAACAACACAGTCAAACATTTACGCTTAAAAATAAAACATTCATATCACAACACTCAGATCGCAGTGAGAAACACGTCCGCCACGATCAAACCATAATGGAAAAAATATAAAGTGAAATACTCCCGTGGATGCGCAGTAGGAGAATGAATTTAGATTTGATTGGCTGTTCCTGTACAACCAGCGTTATTATACGCAGGAAAGTGCATAATAGGGAATATTTATTTAATTGGTTATTTCTAGTATTGCTATCATTATGCGCAATGTTTCACCTTATATTCTTTCAACCATGGATCGAACGATCTCTCGAGATTGAGGATAATATCTTTGTCATTATCTAACTAAGATAATAAATACCAGCATATTATTTCATTTCCTTGTAATTTCTTCAAATATTAATAATATTAAATTGTCAGCAGAAGCATAAGCTTTAAATACCTTAGTATTAATTAAAATTATGAATGATTGACATAGAAAAAACTATTATACAAATGATATTTTGATTTGCATCAGTATAAATCAATGAGAAATCAAAGCATAAAATCAAAATTATGTATTTGCTAACTGAAAAGCAGTACCAAAATAATGACGTGATGGAAACATCGGTTGGTTAATTTTTGGTCACTTGATATCATTCGTATCAATGACCAGAAGTTGATGTCAAAGTGATATCAAATGTGTTTGCTGGGGAACGATAATGATATACATAATCTGCGATCTGTACTACGATAGTGTCTCGGTCAGTTTTGTCAAAACAATAAAATCGGTAAAGTCGGTAATAATAAAACACGCTGGTAATTGTTAAAAACTAGGAAATGATAATGAAAAAGTAATTTATTTGATCTCGAGAATTCCATTTATAATTTATTATTTAACAAAAAGACATCAAATGAAAACAAAATTATGCACTATATTTATTATCTAATTCAGAAGATGATGACAAAGCGATTTATTCGATCTCCATTTGTTTATAACTTAATATTTAACAAATGAAATCGGATGTAAACAAAAAATTACACCCTGGTAATTGTTAACTGTAAGGAAATAATAGGAACTAATAATGAAAAAGTGATTTATTCGTCATCAATCTATATTCGTTTATAAATTAATACACAATGAAAGGAAATCGAAGAGAGACGAAATTATACATTACATTTGTTACCAATCCAGAAAATGACAAAGCAATTTTCCGACCTGGATCTTCATTCATTTCTAACTTAGTATTGTATAAAAAGAGATTAGATAGAAACAATATTATTATATTGTTACATCCAGCGGACTCCCACGACTCTTTTTTTTCCTGGAAATCTGGAATTCGTTGAAATAAAGAAACAACTAAGAATAACGAATAAAGAAGAATAAATTGAGCATTATAGCCTAGAGAAGACCAAAAATTTTCTTTTCCTACACCAAAAATTAAAACGAAGAATTCAGTTCTTCTCATAAATGTCCCTCCGAGATAAACTAAAAATCGAGGCACATGCACGAGCAGCGGAACACCAAAAGGACATCGAGTTTGTGTCCCTCGAACACTACGACTAAAATAACAATAAATATGTCATTGGAAGCATAAGACCGCCAAAATACTTTTTAATGGTCAAGTTGCGAACGATTCTCACGAGTCCGTGATCATAAAACCTAAGAAGCGACACGCAACGTTCAGAGATAGATTCTGGGTAATCTTGTGCCGACGCTGCACGTGCACTTTCTTGACGCACTGCACATGCGTTTTCTCATAAATATTAAGATTAATTCTTTCCCACACTAGACTCCGGTTAACATCCTTCTTTTTCCAAAATCTTAACCAATCCGAGAGCAAAGAAAAATCCTAATACTAATTAACGAAATCTATTCCACCAATCCTTGAGTAATCGGGAGTGATTAGTATAAAAACTGCAGTTCCGCAGTCTTCAATGTGATTTTTCTTTGAGTTTTAGAAGCTATAGTTGTGTCGGGATCTTTGAAAAAGGCTTCATCTGATTCTCGAAGCCTTTTTCTCCAGTAGAGTCAGTGCAACTTAGTAAAACTATACTTCATCAATTTAAGACCAACAGCAGCTGGCTGATCGGAGAAATTGACGAAGTGGATCTGGCACCCAGCATCCTACAGCTGACGGCACCTTCTCCGACGGTTATCTTATACATCGCTATCGCCAAGTAGTAAGTCTTTGATTTCGCTGCAGAACACTAGGTGGTCCTTCTTCTTCTTGTGTACTCCCTCTTTAAAGACGATTAAATTTTTAGTGCGTTCTTCCACCCCTCATCACTTAGCGGGGACTAACAATGTGCGCCGATTCATTGTCTATGTCCGCTCTAACTCGCGGACACGAACAGTCGGAAAACTCTCGAGAACAATCTCCGCTAATTCAGGCATCGGCCCAAGAACAAACTTCGGTCTTTCAGTCTCCAGCCTCGACTCTATCATCGTTATTAGAAATTTCTTACTTCCCTGTCTAGAATCTAGACTTCTTCGATGATCTCTTCCCGTCCAGTCCCCCTGTTTTACATCCGATATCACTATCCCCATTGAGGGGGCGGTTGCGAGACAGGAAATTGAGGAATTTCCTGTCTCGCAACCGCCCCCTCAATTTCTCCTGTTCAACCTGACGCTTATTCTCCCGCTAGTCACCTTCCTCTTCTCTTTCATAACGCCCATCAATTGTTGGAATACATGTCCTACTTTATTTCTTTCATTAACGATTGGATGGTAGCCAGCATGGTTGCTGGATCCATTTGCTTTTTTCAGTCCCCATACCATCCCTCATTCTCATTGGTCCTTTTTCCCTCCAATCATATAAGTTCACATAAATTTAATTTTCCCCTTTCTTTTTAAATTCTCCGTAATCAAAATAATGCCAGTATTACACACAACTCTTTTTCCACACACACACTACACACCACACATACACACACACACACACACACACACACACACACACACACACACTCCCACATACACATCCGTATGGTAATATATTTCAAAATAAAGAACCAAAGAAAAATTTTGTATTTTATTTAAGAAAAATGTATTCCTAAATATTTCTTTTATTATAATGCTATTAAATCTAACCCTCGTTTGTTAATTTGAAAAACCTATTCTTGTAAGCTATTCCGCGGTTGCGCTTCGTCCTCTCCCCGATCATTTGGATTAAGTTCCATGATCGAAAGCCAGGACATACAGACATACTGGCGTTAAAAAGCGCCCTCGCGGCACACTGACCCAATTTGGGCCTTTTAAATTAAAAGTACATCCGATCCGTGTGTCCGTTTAGCGGAGCATGAGTTTGTACTTCATCCTCCATTCGACCCCCCCCCCTTCCGGTTCATTAGGAGCCTCGATCGGATGAAGCGAAATGTCTCTCGATTTCCGCGTCGGTCCTTTCCCACAGTTCCCTTGCAGTTCGGAATCTGGACACGACCAAATCAGTCTAATAATTCGATTCCTGTTGCGTTCACCCCCTCAGCTTCATACATGCGGAGTTTGGACGTAACAATATCTTTAATTCTTCTTTAAAGCTTATTATATAAAAATTATTTCACAAAGGAAAAGACTAAATAGGAGTTAATTTTAGTCTTCTCCAATTATCGTAAAAACACATGAAAACTACAACTTTGCTTCCGCCGTTTTCCTATAGATGGCTTTAGCGGTAAGTGATGGTCGAAATAAATAGATCATACAATAAACTTGGGCATCTGTCAATATAACCCCATAGAAACATTAGTCGATTTGTGTCTGCATCATAAAGTTATTCTCGATTGAAAATGTCAGTTTACGAGCCAAATTCTCGTCATTTGCGGGAGGTTTTAATTTTTTGCTTCAATATGAAGAAATCTGCGGCTGAGGCTCATCGAATGCTCTCAAATACTTATGGTGAGGCCGCTATTAGTGAAAGAACGTGTCGTGAGTGGTTTCAACGCTTGAAGAACGGTGATTTTGACGTCGAAGACGTCAGCATAGCGGTGGAAGAGAGAAGGTTTTCGAAGATGCAGAATTGGAGGCATTACTTGAGCAATGCTCGTGTCAAAATCAAGAAGAATTGGCACAATCATTGGGAGTGACTCAACAAGTCATTTCAAAACGCCTCAAAGCCATGGGAATGATTCAGAAGCAAGGAAATTGGGTGCCGTACGAATTGAAGCCGAGAGATGTTGAACGGCGTTTGTTTGCTTATGAACAGCTGCTTGAAAGGCAAAGACGGAAGGGATTTCTGCATCGCATTGTGACTGGGGACGAAAAATGGGTTCATTACGATAATCCCAAGCGCAGAAAATCATGGGGAGTTCCCGGCCATGCTTCCACGTTGACGGCCAAACCGAATATTCACGGCTCCAAGGTCATGTTCTGTATTTGGTAGGACCAGCTCGGCATAGTGTATTATGAACTGTTAAAACCGATTGAAACAAAACACAGGCGATCGGTATCGAACGCAATTGATGCGTTTGAACCGAGCATTGAAAGATAAACGGCCGCAATACAACGAGAGACACCATAAAGTGATTTTGCAGCATGACAATGCTCGACTCCATGTTGCGAAAGTGGTCAAGACATACTTGGAAACGTTGAAATGGGAAGTCCTACCCCACCCGCCGTATTCTCCAGACGTTGCTCCCTCTGACTATCACTTGTTTCGATCAATGGCACACGGCCTGGCTGACCAGCACTTCCGGTCTTATGAAGAAGTAAAAAATTGGATCGATTCGTAGATAGCCTCAAAAGATGACCAGTTTTTTCGACGCGGGATTCGTACGCTACCCGAAAGATGGGAAAAAGTAGTGGCCAACGATGGACAATACTTTGAATCATAAATGTATAACCAGTTTTTTAATAAAGCGAATTTCGGAAAAAAAACAGCGGAAGCAAAGTTGTACACCTAATAAATTGTTTATGAAGATATTCAATACAAAATATGATATTAAACCTACTTACTTTCCTAAAAAAAGTAAAGAAGACGCTAAGAATACATATTTCTCTAATAAGACCTAAATATCCAACCCAATTAATAGTAGTTCTAATTTTTCTTCAAGAATATTTTTTTTGAAGGTCTTCTTATTTCAATCCAAGTAATGACATTTTAATTCTCTGTCCAAAATTATTATTCTTCAAAAAAAAATTAATATATCAAATGAAAAATTAAAACCCAGATGCTATAGTCTTAACTAATCAAGTTAAATTCTATCAAATTAGAAAGTAAGACACAAACAGTACTATCCTTTGTTATTTACTTTATTTTAATAATATGTATCATTCGTATAAAAGATTTGCTGTCAATTGGTGCCAAGTTAAATTCCATATAATTCGGATACCAAATTAATAAATAACTTTAACGATAAATGTTATTTCTATAAAAGATTTGATGTCAAGAATTGGCGCCAAATCCCAAATATCAAATTAAGTAAAAAATACAATCTGTAATTGCGGACCTTGTCCATTCAAGTGTTATTACAAAAAATAAAAGAAGTAAATACTTGGTGCTGCTAGAGCAAATAATAAAAACTATAAAAGCAATTAAAAAATTATAATAGCAGTTAAAAAAATAAATAATAAATGATTATTACAATTTTAATGTAATAATGAACTTAATCTGAATGTTACAATAAATAAAAATAGAGTTTACTGTTTTTTTCTTTTTTTCTTATAACAATAAGTTTTTATAACATAAGTCTTATAAATTTATCTTAAACTTATATATACTATCTACCTATATATTTATCTATATATTATTGGATGTGGGAAAAAGTTCGTGGCGATTTTTTAGTATTAGTGTTTTTCTGAGAGTATTAAAATCAATTTATTTAAACCAAATATGCTCCATTATTTTCTATAATATTTTGCCATTTTTGGGGCAGAGCCATAATTTCATCGCGAAGAACTTCTGTGGTTTCTGATCGAAAAACTCAAGTGATTTTCACAGGCCTTTTTTGAAGCTAGCTTTACACCATTAAGAGAATTCTGCAGAGACCTAAACAAATGATAGTCTGAGGGTGCTATGTCAGAACTATACGGTGCATTAAAACTTCCCAGCCAAGCTCTCGCAATTTTTGCCGAGTTATCAAAGATGTGTGTGGTCGAGCGTTGTCATGATGGAAGACGACACTTCTCCTATTGATTAATTCTGGCCGCTTCCTCTCAATTGCTTGTTGTAATCTCTGTAGTTGTTCACAGTAGAGTTCGGAATTAATTGTTTAATTGAACGATAATAGCTCATAGTGAACGATTCCCTTCCAGTCCCACCACACACACACAACATCATCTTCTTCCTCGTCAATCCAGGTTTTGAGATTGCTTGCGCCTTCTCTCCTTTCTTTATCCACGATCTTTTTCTAGTTGGATTGTCGTAGGTGATCCATTTTTCATCACCAGTTATCATTCTCTTCAGAAATGACTCAATTTCATTCCGTTTTAATAGCGTATTACAAATGTTAATTCGGTCCATCATATTCCTAACACTCAACTTATGAGGAACTCAAACATCAAGCTTCTTTTTGTATTCAGCTTTGTATAAATGATTTAAAACTGTTTTGTGATCGATGTCTAGTTCCCTGACAATCTCCACAGTGCTCACATGCTTATCACGTTCGACTTTTACCAGTCATCGGACTTTTTAGTGATTGATCGACCGGAGCGAGGTTCATCTTTCACATCGAAATTTCCAGCACGAAAGCGAGCGAACCATTTCCGTGCTACTGATTTTGATAGAGTATCTTCACCGTAAATAGCACAAATTTTTTCACAAGTCTGTGCAACATTCTTGCCTTTATCGTAGTGATACTGCAAAATGTAGCGAATTTTTTCCTTATTTATTTCCATTTTCAAAATAAAGTAACTTTTGATTCACTTCACCGATTTCAATTTTTTTCGGCTCAAAACAAAGGTTAAAATGTCATTTTTTTAAACGCCCGTCTAGTATTGCCGATGCGATTAGTTGCCGAGCATTTAATGCCATCTAGCGAGAAAAACGCCACGAACTTTTTTCCACACCCAATATATCTACTTACGCTGGATACTTTTACTGTTATGGAAAAATCTCATTTTTCTTATTTTACATTTATATTTTTAGCCCTATGTTATACCGTGGTCTAGCAGCGTCAAGTGTTTACAATTTTTAACTTTTTGTGAATGGTCATAACGAAATTACGGATTGTATTCTTTCTTAATTTGAT